CGACTGCCGGCGTGCATCTGCTCTCTCTCTCTCTCTCTCTCTCTCTCTCTCTCTATCTCTCTCTCTCTCTCTCTCTCTCTCTCTCTCTCTCTCTCTCTCTCGCCTCTCTCTTTTCAGCGAAAAAAAAATATGGCAGGATAGCATCTGCCGGTGGTGCCTCTCTCCAACGGCCATACTGTTCAACCCCCCCCCCCCCCCCACACACACACACACACAGACAATGGAGTGGGGCAACAGAAACAAACCCTCATTGTGCACAACTGCATCTTGTACCCCCGCTCCGCATTGTGTAGCGTGCCTCTGTGTATTTTCCAGTGTCTGTGTGTGGGTGTATTTTCCACTGTGTGTGTGTTTGTGTGTGCGAATGTGTGTTTTCTAAAGCACGCGCTGGCCGACCACGCGGCGCGCGGTGTGCTCCTAATTTGCAGACCCGAAGTTTGCGTCCTCGCCTCACTACGCCCCTCAACCCCCCAGCCGCCGCCCTGCACTTGGCCAGACCCGGCCAGAGGCACGCCGCCGATATGAGGAGCCCCGGGCCACCACGGTCACACCACACCCTTCCTGAGTGTGTGTGTGTGTGTGTGTGTGTGTGTGTGTGTGTGTGTGTGTGTGTGTGTGTGTGTGTAAGGGATGGTCCTGTCGCCAGACAGTGTCACGGTGCTGGCCGTGCCCTGGCCGTGCCATACCGCACCGCCCTACCGCCCACTTTTGCCGCGCGAATCGCCCAGAGGGACGCAAGGGAAGCACCACCGCCATATCGTCCAGTGTGGCGGAGCCGAGCCGAGCGGAGCCTGCAGACCGATTCCGAGAGTCGTTTTCGCCGCGCCGTCGCTCTCGCACCTTACACGGCACGGCCCGTGAGTGCGAGAGAGACGGAGCGACGAAAACGATCCTCCGGAATCAGGCGGCCGGGCGTCGGTGTGCTTCTTGTTGTTGTTGTTGACGACGACGTCGTCGTTTTTTTTCCGCCCCCTTTTTCAGTATGGCAGCGGCGGCTCCACTCCCGTTCATGTCACCACAGCGCTTCCGCCTCGGCTAGTTTTGGGTTGCGCCTGTGTGTGTGTGTGTGTGTGTGTGTGTGTGTGTGTGTGTGTGTGTGTGTGTGTGTGAAAAGGGGGAGGCAATGTATTCGGGAAGGGGTGAGGAGGCGGCGACGCTCTTTTCACGATTCGCCCGTATATATTTACATTTAAAAAAAACACATAGTGTGTGTCGCGCGCGCCGCGCACGGAAAATAGTATAAAAAGAAATGGGAAATGCTATTATTACTTTTTGTTATAAATATAATGATAAACAGCGGCGCGCCTTGTGTCGCTGGTGAGCGCGCACGCCCCGCCCTGCCCCACCCCGCCCCGCCTCGCCCCGCCTGCCATGTTCACCACGCCGTGACGCGGTGCAGCACGCGGGGCGGGGCGGGGCGAGGCGGGGCGAGGCGGGGCGGGGTGGGGCGGGGCGGGGCGGGGCAGGGCGGTGAGAGGCGGCCCCGCGGAGCCCTCCACCGCCACATGTGTGGATATAATTGAAAATGGGCGGCGATGCAGACATAATGGAAAATGCCTTTGAGCGCCACTTTCAGCCCGCAGCGCCCAAGGCACCACCGCGGCCCAGCGCCGCCGCGCCGCTCGGCGCTGACGGGTTTTTACACTGCGGAATTTATTGAGTTTGCTCGTTTGCTCGCGCAGGTCGCGCGTTGCCGCCGTTGGCCCACAAGACCACTGACCTGTTCCCCTGAATTGGTAACGCGGATTATGGCGTCGTCCCCGGCTAGCGCTAGCAGGCTAGCAGGCCGGCCGGCTGGCCGGCTCACCGAACGCATTCGGAATGTAGGCAATGTGGGTTGGCGGGGCGCCGGGACACGGCTAGGGGCTTCCACCCTGCCCCGCCCCGCCCCGCCCCGCCCCGCCCCGCCGACGCAGCAGGGACAATGTCCGACCCTCCGCGGATGGCGGAGCGGGATGGCACGCCGATGCCGCGCCTAATACATTATTTCCACGCCGCCCCCGCTCCGCCGTCGCCAGCGGCACTGAATTTTTAAGCTCGAGCGGAAAACTTTCACCCGCTTTTATTGGGTCGACCGCGTCGCGTCGCGTCCCGTTCCGTCGGTGTAGGAGGCACGGTGTTGGCAGTCGCCGAGGAGAGACGCGACTCCAGAGGAACAGCCGTCCTCTGGAGCAAAAGGGCAATTTCCCTCTTTTTTAACCCCTTGATAGCCACCTGGAAGGTAGGCATAAAGCCACACTGTAAGTGGACAAAAAGTGCTGCTTTGCCCCTCCCTCAGGCCGGCCCTGGATCCGCCACTGACCGCGGCGAGGCGGAGCGGAGCGCCCGCAAAACGCGGCATCGGCAACACGCCGCGCGGGCAGGGCGGCAGGCGGAAGGGGTGCCTACCTCGCAGGCGTCTCGGGAGACTCCCGCAGACAAGCCCGGCAACCGCCGCTCCGGACGATATTTTGGTCAGAGCTGCTAAACCGTTGAATCTAGAAGGGTATAGTAAGCGAGCCGATTGTAGATCTCGGTTTGTGATACATTTGAATTGCCTACTTTACCCATCTAACGTTCATGGCTAAGAAGTGGAGATCTAAAACGACTCGTAGCGGCGCCGGCCGTGTTAGAGAAGAGGTTATGTTTCGGTCGGCGGCTGAATTTCACTCACCTACTGATTGCAAATCAATTCAGACATGACATGTAGCTCCAGGCGCGCCCAGACATACGCTGCAGAGCACTGCGAAGCCATTTTGTCACGTTAGACCCGCGAGTCACTCACGAAACACTTTTCGAAACATGAACGCAAACGCCGCATAGTTGGCAAGCAGACCAGGTGCTTGGCGCGCGCGGCAAATGGCAGGGCGGGATGGCGCGGCAGAGTTTGCGCGCCAAATTTGAGCAGTCTCATTGAAAACGAGAAATGGGCACTTTTGGGCGACTCGAAATTCGATAACCGTGTAGAAAATTTTGTACTTTTTTTCAACGTGCCTAGATATTGCCCTCCATTTTTGACCTCTTAAATTTGACCTATCGGTTACAATGGAATAAAAATATCCAATAAAAAGGTTTAGACCGCTGCGTTAGACACGTTACGGGTTGGTGGTGGGAGAGGGGAGAAGGGCCCCCACTGAGGGGCAGTCTTGATTGTAAATGGATTTAAAATGACATTGAAGGTAAAGAAAATTATGAGTTTTCCTCATGTAACTTGCAGTCCAATAATTGGTGGACCGACTCCTAGGCCGTGAGATTCATTTCTTTTCCATTCTTTCGTGACGTAATTAGGCCTGGAAGGAGCGGCTTCATTTCAGGTTTAATTGCCCGTCCGCGAGTCGACGCAATCACCGCCTTTGTCACGGCATGCCGCGGCACTGGCGGGACTGATAATTAATAACCGCGCCCACTCCGGCTACATTTATTGAATTACAGCCCCCATTTTTTCGCAATGACGCCCTTATCTTTTTTTCCTCCTCCTTTTCTCGTGTCTTCTCCAGCCGGGCGCCCTGAGAGGGAGTCGTGGGACGGAACAATAAAGACCTTCCGTCTGGAGTCCGGATTGGAGGTGAGTCTCAGAGTCTCCTCTCCTCGCCCAGCGCGGCCCAGCGCGGCCCAGCGGCAGCGGCCCGTCCAGTCCCGTCCCCTCCGGCTCCGGCTCGATGGGGGCGTGGCGGGGCGGGGCTGCACTGCGGGCGCGGTGTGCCCCCCTCCACCGGCTCCACTCGACACCGCGCGGCGCGGTCGGCGACGTACCGGCTCGGCCTGCTCCAGCGCTCCAGCCCCGCGGCTCCAGCCCTCAGGCCGAGCCAGAGCCAGACGGCACCCCGACGCGGCCGCGCGAGCACGCCGCGGCACGCCGCCAAGCCCCAGTTCCGTGCCGTGCCGTTCCCCCGCGCCACGGTCCAGCCCAGCGCCCAGCCCAGCGCCCAGCCCAGCGCCCAGGCCAGCGCCGCCCCCTGGCCCTGGCCCCCATCGGCGCAGCGGACCGCCGCCGCCAGCCGCCAACGACTCAGTCAGCAGGCACTTGTTGGCGTCCGGCAGGAAGGCAGGCAGGCAGCGTGGCACTGCCAGCCTAGCCAGCCTGCGGGCCGCACAGGAGAGGCGAACAGAGCCTCACAGAGGACGCAGCAAGCGGCAGCAACCAGTGTTTGTCGTTTCCCACAGCAGTGTCGCGGACGGTCCTGTTTCTTCCGGGCAGACTTCCATGAGGTGAGACGGAGACGGCAGACCTGTACCCTGTACATGGTTGGTAGCGCCACTCAAGTGTAACATAGTCAATCACAGCGAACGGCCGATCCAGTGGGGGGAGGATTTCATCCAAGTCGTCCTTTGCGACTTGTGCTTGTTTTATTTTTCATTGATCGTCATTTAAATTTGGCATTTTAATTAACAGAGGATATTTTATTTTAAAAGAGATGAGTGTGGATAGTGAGAGACTGACAATTTTTTTTCTACGCAAACTAGCATTTTTGGCGTAATGTGAAGGCAAAACTCAAAATAACAAATTAGACAGACAGAACTAAAACAGAGCTAAAGAAGTTGGAGAATTGTTTATCAGGCTTTTCATGCAAGTATGGTCTACTGAAGTGTGGAGGAACCATGGGCTGGATTCCAGTACTATGTCAATGACATGAAGCACAAGGCTATAATATTATGCACTCTAGAAAACAGTAGTAAAATATATTTCAAATATGCATTGTGTGCTAAGACCATAGAATACTACAGAAGAGTCACTCGATGGACTGAACTTTTGCAGCCATGGTTCAAAGGAGACATTCGACACCTTCTAATTTTTAGTCAGAGGCAGTTACCATAGTCATGAATAAGCCACACATGTCTAAACTACTCATCAAGCTTTCATGCTCACTAGCAAGCTCCCAGTCACTCGCTACCTCCAGCCTTGATTTTTAAAAAATTAATTTGTCACAACATATTGTGATTATTATTTTATTTAAAGGGATACCAAGGATCGGCCACAAAGAAATGTGTAAAGAAGAGAGTGGCAATGTCCAGGACAACACTTTAACACAAAGCCATAACCCTGTAAGGGTGGAAAATGTTTTATTTATTTCAAGTACAATTTACAAGTTCCAACCAATATACACGTAAATAAAATATCTTGACATAAACTAGGGACAACCTTTCTCGTAAAGTTACTTGTGTGACTGTGGTAAGGATGTAAGTACTATATGCACTTTGATAGGCAGGCGGGCAGCCAGGCAAGCGACAAGGCATGACTGATTCCCTCAACAATGCGTCTGCAGAACAGGCTGGTCCCAGCATCTCACTCAAAGCAAACAATGCATGGAAATAAAATATTTTAAGAAGAAAGCAGTGAACCATACAAAAGAAAAACAACAATAAAGTTCTCTGTACTGCAGACGCATGATGAGCTCCTACCAAACTGATTGCAAAATATTAATTGAAAGTGAAGGTTTGAAGGCACAACACCTCAGCTCTCTCATTTCAAGATGCTTAAGTATGGTGATATAACTAAAACGAACTATAGCTAGATATTAACCATCAGCAGCACAGGGCTGGAGTAGAGAAGAGGAACAAACAACCATAACAAGATTTCTGAATCCATTATAAATGATGCTACAACATGGCAAAAGCAGTGGTTGGCTCTCTGCTCCCTGGACAGAACAGGCAGCTACAGGGACTGTGTCATGCTCTACAAATCCCTCAAATGCAGGCTTGCCAGACTCTTACCACCCACTTCAAGAAAAATAGTGAAACAATGTAAAGAGAAGCATGTGCGTTCTCCTCAGTGCCAAATTTTATATTGTTTCCAGTGCTACCAAACCGCAGTCACTAACAATCAGGGTTTCATAACAAGAGGACAAGATTACTGATGCATGAAAGACATCAAACAACTATGTGGGGTTCTATTTTAACGAGGTTGACATAATTCAAAAGTCTTATATTTTTTGGGGGTATTACTTGGGCACATAAATCATCTAGGACTAACAAAACCTCATATCAACCAGCAAAACTATCAATAAATCTCTGTTTCACTTATCCTATGGAATATGGTACGTTCATCAGGGGCCTAAACAAATTAAAATAAGGTAGATAATAATAATGATGATAAAGTAAAGAAAAATAAAAGAAATATAATAAATTAATATTAAGGGATATCATTCAACAAATGGTGTTCTAATAATTGGCATAAATCATAACAATACTGACACAGTAAAACCTGCCAATAAATTAATACTTCATCAACTGAAAGAAAGAAAAGAGGATTTTAAGGTCTTGTGTGTGCAATACTTAAAACTTCTCTTTCATATCTTTTACTGTTTACAGACATGATGGCCGTTTTTCTGCAAGCACACTTGCCTCAACATTTCAGGCACTGGAACTGCTTCCTGCCAGCAGGAAGCACAACAATCATGCAGGTAATCAGCCTTTTTATCCTAGGTTTAAAATTAGTCAAAGAAGACGTGAAAGTTAAGGCAGCATCACCTTCCGCAATTTAAATTAAAAATACACAAAGAAAGGCAGATTTTATTGCATTCTCCTAACAATTTTAAAAGAAATGGAATGATTGGCCAGTGAAATTCATACCCATTACAGTCTCAATCTTATGACAAAACTGAAGAACTGGTGCCAGTCTATCACATATTTTAGCTTAAATCAAAATCAGCCTTATTAATCAAATGCAAAGAAGCAAACAGAACATTTTCTTTCGAACACCACCACATTCCTTAATTACTGTTCGTATTCATGCTCCTAGTCAACAATACTGGAAAATAAAATTATTGGTTCTTCAGTATGTATGCTCTTTCAAAACATTCCAGACATTCTGCATGACATCGCGCCTTAGAAACAGCCTATATTTTCTGAGGACGGTTTTAAAAGGCATATGTTATTATCATTGAAGTTGCTCATAGGTTTCTGAAGATATTGCTCGGGGTAAAGTTACATTGCAGTGCTTTGCTTCAAAAGAAGCAGAAGAAAGCACATTATGGAGTATCAAACAATCTTAAAAAATAAAAGATGAAAAAAGTGAGGTAATGATAGAGTTGGAGTTCATAACGATCATATCCACTGCATAAATAAAGACTGACTTAGAGCCAAATAAAATCAATTCAAATACGACATATCAAAAGATGAAAAAGTGAGCAAATGAGGAGCATTTACAACTTAAAAGCTCTCAGACTTGAGCAAACCAGCTTGTTGAGGGCTATCAGGATTGGCATCAACATCCACTTCAGGATCATTATCGCTGCCCAGGTCGTCATAGTATTCAATGTGCTGTGTCGCGGTGGGCAGAGGCAGGGCTGGAGTCTCACTCACCTGTGAGTGGGATGCAGACTGCGACACACTGTCTGGAATGGGTAGAGGCTTCGCAACTCCAATGCGCACAACTCCTTTTGGTGCTCCTTTGAGTGCTTGAACGGCTTGATCTAGAGATGCATTTTCCAGCACAGTGTTGTTGACAAAGAGAAGTCGATCACCAGGTATAAGCCGGCCATCCATCTGGGCAACGCCACCAGGAACAAGAGATCTGATGACTATGACGGTCTCGCTTGGGTTCATCGGATCCTGGAAGCAAACACATCAAGCATTAGTTGATCATGCAATTTGATTCTCTGTACGTGATGTCTAAGAACTTGAAATAAAATGTGTTAACAAAACCGACACCACACCAATATGTTTTTGAATAAAGAAAAATGATTCATGTGTAGTTTCTTTGGTGAACAGTTTTTCAAGGTAAGTTTTGACCCCCCACACCAATATCACTCCAGTTACTGGGATGAAAACCACACTGACCATGCTGATCAAATAGACGGGTGGGATAAACAAACGAATTTAGTAGTGGCCTAGATTTTTCTCCAAGGTGGGAGAGAATAAGACTTCCGTCTAGTTAATTCTGTTCAGCAGTAACCTGCATATTTCCAATGAAATCAAAATGGACACCCATTCTAACAATATTCTCAACGTGTAGATAGATGCAACATTTACACAGCACCAACAGAAGTTGGAACGAAAGAATGGGCTTCACATTGCACAATAAAGGCTTTTTTAAAATAATTCTATATAGAAATAATGATTTTACAAATCATGTATCAAAATGTAAGAAGCAGCAATATTTATCAGTTCAGGGGGCAAGGATGCTAAAATATGTGGTCAGAGGAGAAAATAACCTATTCTCAGTTGCTGCTTCTACCATGGAGTGTAACCCCATACTACTACAGAGAGTCATTAGTTAATTTCTAGAACTGACCAGTGAGATTTTATTACTGGAGCTTCCAGAATTGAATTTTTATTTTTTCAAAATGCTTCAGATAACAATGTGGTAAAAGGAATCTACACCAACTTCCCTGCTTTTTTCACAGGGACAATCTCTCTGGAAACATTTGTAGAAGGATCAACAGCTCCCCAACTCAATTTTGCCCATGAGACTGTGAACAATAGTGAAGGTGACTTTCAGTTCACATGAGAGGAAAGAGTACCGTATATTCCATCTCATTGACAGTGGAGGGTAGACATGCAGGTGCTGTGGTGTCACAATGTGACCAGAGGAGTGGCGCAAGGTGTGGAGATGATTAATTCTTTTAATATTTTGCAAATATTACTTTTTTGCAAACAGATATGCATGTCCTTCCATGAGAGTAAATAACAAGTAGAATGAAGAATGTGCAGACAAGGTGTGGTTGTGGTGGCTGCTCGGTACATCTAGCCCGCCTTATATGTAAATGTAGAATGAGTGGGACTGTGCAGCCTGTCTGCCTCTCACCTGGTAGTCAAGAATGGAGAAGCCCAAACCACGCTCTCCTTTGGTCAGCTCAATGATTTGCGGTTCAGAGCTCCACATGGCCAGCCCCGTCAGTGGCTCGAGGGATCTCGACTTCATCTTGGAGAAGCTGGCGTCCGTGGCCGTGGCGGTGGTCGTGGTGGACGCGAGGGAGCCGTCGGACTTGGCCTTCACCAGGCGCTCCGTGGCGGGGATGAGGTTCTGCAGTGATCCGCCCAGGAGGCTCTGAAAACAAGGGACGCGCCAACGCGGGGCAGGTTAGGTTCGGTTCGTCTCCCAGTGTTGGCGGTTAAATTCGAGGACGCCGCACAGTGGATATGCTAGAAAACCAGCAAAGCTGGCCAAAAATCAAGACGCGTTTTTAGCTCCAGAGTCGCTAAATGGGACTCGAGCCGAACGTGTGACCCCACCGATGGATTACTCTCCGAACGAGGAATCCATTGGCGGGGTCACACGGTCGGTTAGAGGCCTGTTTAGCGACTCTGGAGCTCGAAACGCGTCTAGAACTTCAGCCGGTCTTCTGGTAAATCCACTGTTCGCCGTCGAGGCCTTGGCTCAAACTTGACTCACCCTCGCCGCGAAGGCCGCCCTGTCCTGCGAGGTGTCGATGAGGCGGTAGGGCGGCGCCTCGCCGGCGCGCCTGGCGCACACCATGCGCACGCACACTGGCAGGTCCTTGAGGATGCTCACCACCTCGATGTGGTTCATGCCCAGCAGCCGGTGGCCGTTCACCTCGAGCAGCTCGTCGCCCGAGCGCAGCAGCGCGTTGCTGCCGACGGGGCCCTCGGGCAGGATGGAGCGGATGTAGTGGTGTGGGCGCACCTCCTGCCCGTCCTCCACGTCCACCGTGCCCTCCAGGCTGATGCCCAGGCCACCGCCCTCGCCGAACTTGCAGAGCTGCGCCACCTGCGAACCGCCAGGCAAGAACAAGGTCAGAGACAAAGTCAGAGACACGGTCCGAGGTGATGGACGCTAGACGCGCTGAGCACAACGCAGCCAGTGGCCTGATTCCGGGAGCCGTCATCGTCGCTCTGTCTCTCTCGCACATAGGGGACGCACAGTGGGCCGGTGGAGGCGGCCAAACCTCTAGACGCGTTTTTAGCTCCAGAGTCGCTAAGCAGGACTCGAACCGAACGTGTGACCCCACCAATGGATTCCTCGTCCATTGGTGGGGTCACACGTCCGGTTCGAGTCCCATTTAGCGACGCTGGAGCTCAAAACGCGTCTACAATTTTGGCCGCCTCCACCGGTCCTCTGGCCTACTGTGGGACGCCTGATGGCTGCGAGAGAGACAGAGCGACGAAGACGACCGTCGGAAACTGTCCGCAGCCCGGCCGTAGCGCCCGTCAAGTCGAGGGCGGGCCGCCCGCCGCGCACGGCTGTGCCGCGGGACGGCCTACCCTCGCCTCCGCGGGCGCTTCTGGCTCCGGGACGAGCGAAGAGCACAGCGACGGCGCACAGTGGGCCGGAGGCGGCAAAAACTCTAGACGCGTTTTGAGCTCCAGCGTCGCTAAATGGGACTCGAACCGAACGTGTGACCCCACCAATGGATTGCTCTCCGAACGAGGAATCCATTGGTGGGGTCACACGTTCGGCTCGAGTCCTGCTTAGCGACTCTGGAGCTCAAAACGCGACTAGAGTTGTGGCCGCCTCCACCGGTCTTCTGGCCCACTGTGCAGCGGCGGCGATACTCACCACAATCTCCACTCCCGGCCCCATGATCTTGGTCCACTTGGCCTGGATGGCCGCCTCCACAGTCGGTTTCAATGGTCCCGTGTAGTCGGTGTCGATGAGCAGCTCCACGTCCTCCAGGTCCAGGTCCTCGCTGGCGCCCTCCACGCCCTCCAGCAGCAGCGAGTCCGCCGTGGTGTGCGACTCGCCCTCCATCTCGATCCCCACGGCGCTCTCGCCGTCCTGCAGCAGACAGAAAACACGAGGCTCGTCAGAGAGTCGTCTATCTATCCCGGTGCCTCATGCCATCGAGGCCAGTGACGTTACCGACTGCGAACAGCGCTCTCACTGTGAAACCAAGTGTTGAGGACTCATTCACACTTCAAATGCGAAGGTGAGAAATTTTCGGCCTCCGCACTTGGAAGTGTTTACAGTAACTCAAGAGTGGGGTTCTCCACGTTTGCATCATGCCAAGAGATAGGAGTTCTGTGACCTACTCCACACTTGAAGTGCACAGACTGAAGACTCTATGCGTTTGAGGAGAATTGCTCTGTGTGAAGTTCTCCAAACTTGGTTTAACAGTGTCACCGCTCCGTCTCTCTCGCACCCTACGGGCGGTCCCATAGCGGCGCCAGAGACGGAGTGACGAGCTGCTGTTGATTGTGGACGGATTCCGAGAGTCGTTTTCGTCGCTCTGTCTCTGTAGCATCTCATGGGGCGCCCGACGTAGGCGCGAGAGAGATAGCGCGACGGAGACGGCTCTCGGAATGAGTCCGCTGGTGAGGCGAGGCCTGCTTACCGCGCTGATGGGGAAGCGCGGCAGCGAGGCAGCGGACGGCGAGGCGGGGGCCTGCGCCGCGCTGGGCTTGAGCTCGCTGTTGGCGATGGCCTGCTGCAGCTGCTCGAACTTGGGCCCGCGCAGGTAGCGCTCCAGGCACAGGCTGACGGTCTGGCCGGTGTTCCGCAGCACCTCCACGGCCTGGTGGTTGGTGTAGCCCTGCAGGGACCGGCCGTCCACCTGCGAGGGAGGGGAAGGAACAGTCAGCAAAGGCCAAAAATCCATCTCGTAGCCAGTATTCGAACCCGGGGCCGCCACTCACCTCAACAATGCGGTCGTTGACCTGGATCTTGCCGCACACGTCCGCGGCGCTGCCCTCGCTGATGCTCTTGACGAAGATGCCGGACAGCTCCTCCTTCTCGCACACGTAGCCGGCGATGGTGATGCCGAGCCCGTGCACGTCCTTCTTGAGGTCCACGGTGAAGGTCTCCATCTCGGGCAGCGGCGTCTCGGCGGGGATCATGTCCATGGTGAGGGTGGGCAGCGACGGCGCGGCCAGCAGCAGCGGCCCGGTCGGCATGAGCTCGATGTCGCCCGCGGCCACGCCGGCCTCCAGCTCGTCGTCGCGGAAGATGAAGTGGTTGTCGTACGAGTCCAGGATGGAGCCCTGCGGCGTGAACGTGTTGGGGAAGCCGTTGCGGGTCAGGTGGCGGTCCAGCTCCTCGGGGTCGCCCAGGATCTTGGTGGGCACGATAGGCGGCATGCCGACCACCATGCTGGCCTGGTAGTCCGTCGCGTTGGTCTCGACGGGCCTGGCCACCACGAGGCGCACGTGGCTGCCGGACTGGCGCAGCACGGCGGCCACCTGCTCCGAGCCCATGCCGCGCAGGTTGACGTCGCCGATCTGCAGGATGTGGTCTCCGCTCTGCAGCCGGCCGTTCTGCAAGCAAGACGGCACGGTCAGTCGCCGGGACGGAGACAACCAGCAGCAGACTCGCCCTTGGGAGAGAGACGGGGCTTACCCGGTCCGCCACGCCGCCGGGCAGGATGGTCTTGACGACCACCCCCGTGCTGCGGCCGCCGATGATGCCGAAGCCCAGGCCGGAGCCATCGTTGATGAGGTCAATCACCTCGACCTGAGCCCACTCCGTGTTGAGCTGCAACAAACGAGGAGACACCCCGTCAGCACACGGCGATACTCCGCGTCGCGGCGACCCCCGGCGAGGGGCGGCCGGCGTAGCGCCACTCTCGCGCGGGGTATCTACGGCGCGGCCGCGAGAGCGCGCTCGCTCCAGCGACGCATGCGAAGCGACTTTACAGTGTGCAGCCATGAGCCGGACTGCAATGAACTGTGGAAGTAGCCCGGTGCGAGAAGGGCAAGGGCTTTGATCACCGCGTCATCGTTAGGATTTAATGAAGCGGAGGCCGAGGCCACGACGCCGAGGCCGCGACTCGCCGCAACGCCGCGCCGCCCAACTTGGGCGTGATAACGACTTGGCACTTCGCGGGGAATAAACTAACGCCCGGCCCCTCGCCCTCTACTCACCACCATGTCTGAGCCGGCCTTGGAGGTGTCGCTGACGCCCGGCCCCTCGCCCTCTACTCACCACCATGTCTGAGCCGGCCTTGGAGGTGTCGCTGACGCCCGGCCCCTCGCCCTCTACTCACCACCATGTCTGAGCCGGCCTTGGAGGTGTCGCTGACGCCCGGCCCCTCGCCCTCTACTCACCACCATGTCTGAGCCGGCCTTGGAGGCGTCGCTGACGGCCGACGGCGACGGCGGCGCGACGCCAGCGGCGGCGGCGGCGGTGGAGGCCGCGACCTGGGCGGGCTGGTCGGCGAGGAGGCAGCTGGCGGCGGTGGCGACTCCAGCTTGGGGCCCGTCGTCAGTGCGGGCCACCACCAGCTCTACCAGCCCGCGGGCCTTCTGCAGGATGCTGATGGCCTGCAGGTGGGAGATGTTCGAGTCCAGGGGCTGCCCGTCGATGGCGAGGATCTGATCCCCCTCGTGGACGCGGCCATCCCTGCAACACAACACGCACTCGGTCAAGGTCGAGAAGGGCCAGATGGAGCACCGGGCTGCCAAGCTCGGCGAAGCTGGTTTTGACAGCTACACTCGCCGGCCATCGACAGTCAATCTGTCAGTCTGTCTATCTGTCTGTCTGTCCGTCTATCTCACAGACAGATGACGCGCGGTTCGGAATCAGACGACTGCCGTCTTTTTATCCTGGCCAAATTGATTTTTCCGGCGTCCGTGCCGGATCCCGGATCCCCCCCCGGGACCTTAACACAAAACAAAGCAAATCCCCTGCACCGCGCCGCCACGGCCACGCCGCCCGCCCGGCCCGAATTTGTATGCGGATTGCAGCTCAGGAAACACTCACCGCGTCCCGCCTGCGCAGCGCAGAGCGGCGCAGAGCGCAGGCGAGAGCAGGCTCCGAAAAGAAAGAAACAACAACAAAAACAAAAGCGACACGGCGGCAGGCTCATTCCTCGCAGCGCTTCCGCCGGGCTGTCGCGCTGTCTCTCTCGCACTCGCGGGGCGAGCGAGGCAGCGGCGAGCCACTGGCGTAGGTGTGCCGCAGCCCTGAATGAAGCCGCGAGCGGTGTCGCGCTGAGTCGCGGAGGCGGCGTGATCCCCCTCCGCTCAGAGAGGGGGGTGGGGCTGGCGCGGCCCGTGCCGCGAAGCTACTCTGGCAAATGAGTCCACGTCGGTCCCAACAACCGGAGCGGTGCCAGGGCGGCCAGGCGGCAGGCTGATTCCGGACAGAGCGCTGTCTCTCTCGCACTCACGGGGCGGGCCCTTTGGGGTGCGAGAGAGAGAGCGACGACGACGCGCAGCTGTTCGGAGCCAGCCTGCAGGGCGCCGCCTCGCCTAGCCTCGCCTCGGCTGGCCAAGTGATTTATGTGGGATATTGTTCCTCAAGGATGTACCTCCCCTTGGCGGCGCCCCGGACCAGGCCGGGCCGGGCCAGACCGACAGGCAGGCTGGCCCACTCGGGGGCGACCTTGGCCCTCTCTGGCCCGCCTGGCCCGCCGCCGGACCTCTCCACCCCGGGGCATCACTCTGGGAAGGCTGTCTGCGCCGTCCTCGTCCTCGGTGCCTCGGCGTCGGGCCGAGAGGCAGGGAGGCAGGGAGGCAGCCCGGGCCCGGGGCAGGCCGAGGAGAGGCGGAGGCAGCACCATTAGCCCGGCCGGGCCGCGTCTTCGCCCTCCATTACCCCCTTATCTTGATCCCCTGCTTATCGCCCCGCCCTGCCCCTCCACCCTCCGCCCCGGCAGCAGCACGCTGCAGCAGGCCCTCGATGCCACCTTGATGCCCTCGACGGCCCGGCGGCGTAGCCCGGCGGCCTCACGAGACGAGATGGACGCGGCGTTGCCAAAGTGCCAACGGCGGGCGAAGCGGCCGGGGGCAGCAGACTGATTCCGAGAGTCGCTTCCGTCGCTCTGTCTCTCTCGCACTCATGTGGCGTCCCGTATAGGTGCGAGAGAGACAGAGCGGCGAAAACGACTCTCGGAATCAGGCTGCACTGCTGAGCCAGGAGAGGAGGACGCCGACGTTGGCGTCGCGGATGCGCCTCGCGAGACGAGCTCGTTCCGTACAGTGTCGCTGTCTCTCTCGCACACATGGGGTGCCCCGTCGGGGTGCGAGAGAGACACAGAGAGAGAGAGAGAGAGAGAGAGAGAGAGAGAGAGAGAGAGAGAGAGAGAGAGAGAGAGAGAGAGAGAGAGAGGGCATCAGCGAGCTGCCCCGCCTGCTCCTGCATGACGGGGCTCTCCGAGGAGCCGGCCCGGCATTACATATTCCGCCTGCTTCATTTTATTCTGCTCCCTTTTTTTTGTTTAAATAATAAGAGGCCGAAGGGGTAGCGGCGGCCCCGCCGGCCCGGCAGCCCCGTCGCGGGGCTCGGGGGGGCTTAGCTGGGCGGGCCGGCAAGCCTCGGCGCGCCGACGCGGCGACGCGGCACTGTCCCACTGCGCGCGCTAACACCACTAAATCCAAAGTTTAGCACGCTTGTTATTCAGACGTCATCCCCTGGACGACAGGCCGCGGGCTCTGGCGGAGGGGACGCGTCCGGAGCGTCACGCTGCTGCCCCCCCTTTCATCCAGAGGCCTCCCCCCCCCCCCAGCCGTCCCCAGAGGCAGAGACAGCGCAGCCCGGTGCTGTCATTCCAAACCCAGCCCAAGTGAGGCAAACTTTATATCCGCCATTTGCAGTTCCGGCAGCACTACCGCCGCGGACCGCGCTGCCGCGCACTGATTCCGAGAAGTCGCTCTGTCTCCATCGCACTAGCGGGCCGTCCCGTGGCGGTGCGAGAGAGACAACGAGACAGCGCGACGAAAACGACTCCCCGGAACCGGCCGGCTGATACGCGGGTCCGGGGCTGTCGCTGCTGTCGCGGCGCAGACTCCAGCGAGACCCATTCGGCGAGGCAGACGACTCCGGCAAGGCGGCCGGGCTGGAGCGAGGCTGGAGCGAGGCTGGAGCGGGACGCGGAGATTAACCAAGTCACTGTAAGAGACGCGGCGTTGGCCTCGGCGTTGGCAGCGAGTTAGGCGCTGGGCTCGCAAACTGGTGAAGAATGCCTCGCAAAGTCTCGGCAAAGCCCTCGCCAGCAGGGCTCGTTCCGTCGCTCTGTCTCTCTCGCACTCGCACTGCGTCCCGAATGGGTGCGAGAGAGACAGCGCGATGACAGCGCTGTTCGGAACCCGCCCCTGGTGGCGTTCGGCGCTCGCCCAGCCCAGCGCAGCGCGGCGCCCCAGCTCAATACCTTCGTTACACCTTAGTTACCTCCCCTCGGAGACACACTGGCACTCGACGACGCCGCCACCCGAGGGCCATCGCACAGCAGGCCGTCTCTCTCGCACCCGTGACGCGTCCCGCATGGGTGCGAGAGAGACAGAGCGATGAAAACGGCGCAATAACCGACTCTGCCGGCAAATTGAGACACGTCTCGTATTTATCTCTCTCGGTGGCTACGTCGAGGCTCCGTCGAGGGCCTCCCGCTCTGCCAATTCATTCCATCACATCGCCCTCCTCTCTCGCTCTCTCGCTCCCCCGGGCGAGGCGGGGCGAGGCGGCTGGCCTTTCAATTCCATCCGCAAGATGGATCCACGGCGGCGGCCTCCCACCGTGACTCGCGATTCCTTCCAAACGTTTTACCGACACCTGTTTTTCCTCTTTCTCTCCCCTCTCCCTCTCTCTCTCACCTTTTTTTTTTGGATCAACTGCCCGCAGCTCGCCGCACCCAGGACCGCGGCAGAAAAAGGGCTCAAGTGGATTGAAGTGCGGGAGGGAGGGGAGGAGAGGGAGGGGAAGGAGAGGAGAGGGAGGGGAGGGGGAGGAGAGGGAGGGGAAGGGGAGGAGAGGGAGGGGAAGGGGAGGGAAGGGAGGGGAAGGGGAGGGAAGGGAGGGGGAGGAGAGGGAGGGGAAGAGGAGGAGAGGGAGGAGAAGGGGAGGGAAGGGAGGGTGGCTCCAGGAAGTGTGAGATAAGCACGCCGTCGACCTGGCCCACGACTTCGCCGCCGCCACCACCGCACGCTGCTGGCTTGAGACCTTGTCGGAGACCGAGCCATCTGGCCATTGGCGCCCTGGCAAAGTTTCTTGCACGCACACGCATACTGGCGCTCCGTCGCTCTGTCTCTCTCGCACTCAAAGGGGCGTCCCGTGCAGGTGCGAGAGAGGCGGAGCGACGAAAACGACTCTCGGTCTGCACCGAATTGTTCAAAGAAAAGAAGACGACGACGTGGAAATCGAGATGAGACGCGCACAAGAAGACGCGGAGTGGATGGAGCGCAGACGCGCCGCTGCCTTGGCTGCAGAGCAGCCTTGGGGCAAATTTGAACAGAGGGGCGCCGTGATTGGCCAATAACACGTGGAACGCGTGGGGAACGGTCCCACAGACACAGACACACAGACAGACGCACTCACACACACAAACACACACACACACGGCGTGCGGGCGCGGTGGCTTCCCCGCGTGTATTTACTTTGGGTGTGAGCGCGTGTGTGTGTGTGTGCGTGTAGGTGTGTGTGAGTGCGCCCTGCACTCGTGCATAATTAAACAGCATTCCGCGGAGTACATTGCCGGGCGAGTAAAAACAAGCGGCAATGTCCCATTGATTGGCCGCTGGAATCGAGTCCCTTCCCCGGCCCGGCCCGGCTCGGCCGCTTCCACTCCACTGTCGGCCGGCCGGGCCTGCAGGCCGCCTGCACAATGCAGCACCCACCGCATTACACTGAATTAAGGCCCTGGCTGCCAGTGGCGTGGCGTGGCGAGGCGGATTGCGGAAGGGGAGGGGGCGCCCTTTAGGGACCCCTCGCGCGACAATGGCGACCGAATTCCGGATCCCGTTTAATTATTTACGCTTTCTTTGCCCTTCCTTGGTTCCGGGGAACGACCCCCCCCCCCCCTTCGGGTTTCGCTACTGTGGCATGGCCGGCCTCAGGCCGTCCCAAAACTGAACCCCCGTTCCTTCCATTAAGTCCCCCGGGCTGCCCGCTGCCGTGCTCCAGCAGCCGTTGGGGAAGGGCGCCCTTTCCCCCTCTCGCACAAGGGCACGGGATCGCGTTAATTATAGTTTTTGTTTGCGTTGGCGAGACGAGAGGGGACGCATCGGTGGAGGTAAGGATATCAGAGTGCCACTGAACTCCCGTTCCGGTACCATTCGCGCAATGCCCCCTCTTCTCCAGCACCCTGTTCGCGAATGCCGTGTCGTAATCGCACTTTTGGGGGTCGCCAATGGGAGTGAGGGCCGAGAGAGAGTGTAATACACCCGAATACAGCGTAAG